TCATCTAGTCCAACCATCAACCAAACTCTGATAAAACCCATCACTAAACCATGTCTCTATGTCAACCCCTCTTTTCAATCCCTCCAGGGATGGGGCCTCAACCACTGCCCTGGGCAGCCCAGTCCAATGTGCAATAACCTTTTCCATGGAAACATTTTTCCTAATCTCCAATCTGAACCTCCCCTGGGGCAATTTGAGGCCGTTTCCTCTTGTCCCATGGCCTGTTCCTTGGGAGAAGAGACCGACCCCCCCTGGCTACACCCTCCTTTCAGGGAGTTGGAGAGAGCCAGAAGGTCTCCCCTCAGCCTCCTTTTCTCCAGGCTCAACACCCCCAGCTCCCTCAGCCTCTCCTCACAAGACTTGTGCTCCAGACCCCTCACCAGCTCCATTGCCCTTCTCTGGACCCACTCCAGCTCCTCAAGGTCTTTTTCGTTGGAAGGGGCCCAAAACTGGACACAGCACCCAAAGTATTCTTCAGCACAGGTGGGATATTCAGCCGTCTTGTTTGCTAGGCTGACTACACCGTCACCCCAACGAGGTGCAAGAGGGGACATCACACCACACTCCAGCCCCAGAAGGGCTAAGCTCTTGGTGAGTGTTTAAGCCAGAGACTTCCTTGCAGCTACAATGACAAGCAAAACGCAAAGTTGGTAGTAGAGAAGCACAGCTACAGCAGCTGTACCTGTGTCTTCACTCTGGCTGTCACCTGCAGCTCAGACCTTTCTCCAGCCATGCCAGCTGAACGCCCAACCCTGGGGTGCCAGGCACTGACTAGCAAGACACCCTGGAGCTGACTGCGACAGACTCTGTTTGGCTACAACTTATGCTAATAAGGACAGCAGAAGTTTTTTATCTTGAATAATACTCCTTGAATAAAATTCCTGGCCTGACTGGGAACACAGTCACATAACCATAAAAACACCACGCTTCCTGAAGTGACGTCTGGGAGGCAGCTTTTGGTTCACACAAACCCACATCTTTAAACACTTCAGCTTGCACAAATACGCGCTCAAAAATCCTTTTGAAGCCAGAAGGTCTGATTTCTTTTTCTGACATAACTATAGCGTGTCCCTACGTACGGACATCCCTGTAACAGCATCCTGTGGTCTGCAGCGTGGCCGTGGATGGGGCAACCTTCAGTGCCACACAGACGTTGGCAGCGCATCTGCTGCACTCTCTAGGCTCAAGTGAGCATTTCTTGAAGCAGCATCAAGGTATCGATTACTTTGCCTCTGAGAGGGAAAATGTTGCCCGTCTCGTCTGTCCCAGTGCAACCCCGAGAGCACAACCCTCGGGACACTTCCAGGTTCCCGGGGAAAAGGAAGCAGTGCCACAAAATGCCAGGAATGTCACAACTTCTCCAAAAGCTGCCTCAGTCAGCAAAATCCGATTGACTGAAGGGTTTGCTTGAAGAAATAAAATGGATGATCCGGATGCGCTTTCCTTTCATCGGGCATGAAAATGAGATTCAGGAAAATGAGACTGGCGGAATACCACATTCTTATTCTCTGTTGAAGTATGTCTCCATTTTTTTTCCCAAAATACACATAACTGGATGCTAGTTTTGAAAATGTCCTCATGCCCCAGGATTGCTTTCATAAATATGAGGAATTGTTGCCCTTGCCAAGACGTGCTTCATTCCTATTTTTGGGCATACTTCGGAAGTTCAGACTGAAGCAATGCTCTCTGGGCCCAAGGGAAGTTGTGCTTAGGTAAGGGCTGACACGGAGCCTCATCATAACAGGATTTTCTGGATTTCTGCATCTCAACCCAAGTCTACAGCTAAAGTTTTGAAACTAGTCCTTAGACTAGTCCGCAGCAAAACCACAGAGATGAATAAAAGTGAACTGTGGGTGGAAAATCAAACTGTGTTGAAATTTTAGATGCTGTCATTCAGGTCCTTCTCAAATTTAAACCCGTGGTTCAGATGGACTGGTTCTGCTGCTCTTACTCCTCCTTTACCACGTCGCTTTGTGACAGAAGTGGGATACCAGCTCTCCTACATTCAGATGTTGAAAGCCTTTCAGACAAAGGAACGCTGCTGCTCTCGTACGCATAAAGCAGCACGCGTTTTTACAGTTCAGAAAATGAAAGAGTCTGTAGGCAGGTAATAAACTCACTTATTGGAATTGCAACCAACAGATCAGAGACCACAGATACATCTGGTTTGATCTGGGACCTGCCTTGTGACCACAGAGCTGCCTGGCTGAGCCTGGGCACTGCCAGGGGAACTCTCTGCTCACCCTGCTGCGGTAGGGGGCACAGTGAGGTCCCTGTCCTGGCTTGCCTTCTTCTCACCCTTGGCTTGCTCTGGCTGCAGTCACCACTGCAGAGATCCCCCTGAGGTTCACAGGATCCAAGGTGAACCTGGGAAGAACATCTGCTTGATACCAGGAACCTTGAATTAAAGTTACGTTGTTGGGATCTAGGGATGAAGAATGCCATTTTATTAAACTAAACAATCTGCTGCTCCCCGGATTGATACTGTTTTAGCTGAGGTTGTACAGTCTATTCCTTCCCAAAGGATCAGGCTACAGATTGGCATTTAAACTACTTTAAGATAAGCAGGTATCTAAATGAACAAACTTAAACTCTGGTCATAGATGATGCTTGGCCAATCACTCTCACTTTTATACAGTTTCCTGTATATTCCTCTCAATTTCCTATGAGTGCGTGCTGAGACATTTATTGGAGTGAATGCAGGGAGGGGTTCAGACATGCCCTGCAAAGACAGCCATGTACTGTGCTGGGACAGGGCTCTGCCTCTGTTGCCACTTGGAGCACACATACCATCAATGCACCAGGCACACATCCTGGAAAATCCATGGCACAGGAGACATTTCTATGGGGAAATACCCTTATGCAGAAATTTTTATTTCAAGAGGAATTTACTTCTAAATAGGCCACTAATTGTCTTTAAGTGCTGGCAATGAAGACAAGAATGTTTGTGCTCTGAGTCATACAATATTAAAAAAAAAAAAAGGGAATTCATAATTGAGACATCACACAGACACTATGGTTACTCAGTTAAAAGCAGATTAAAAAGAGTCTACTTCTGCCGCCACAAATTTCCATGATATTACTTGGGATTTTAATGAAAAAAGTGATATTCTGTTGGTGCCTATATTATATTTTTCTTGATTTGTTTATAGTGAAACAGTCCCCCAGACCCGCAATGTGGGTAAGTGTGTTCTCAGTGGAAAGACAGGGGCTCCAAAAGGGGAACAAACCCCCTATTCATGATTTGACTCTAAGAAATGTCTGTTCAAAGTGCCTGTGTATCAAATCTGTATGTTCCCTTCTCTAGCCATTTACATTCTAGAATTTAGAAATGGTGAAGTATTGACAATTTTTATTAAAATACTGCAAAATTGGCACCTAAACTTGTTTTATGAAACTCCTAACTGCAACTTTATGAATTATGGTAAATGAGTATCAAATTCCTTATATACGTGTGTCAAAAGGCATCTGCAAACATCAAATAAATTAGTGGCTACAGAATGTGTTGGGAAGAAAACTGAAGATCTACACGGGTTCAATAAATACAAAAGAGAAGTTATAAGTTGTTTGAATAATTTTTTGAAATGGGTTGTTTTTTAAATTAAATTTGTGCATATATGTTTATATAAATATTTATCCTTTAAGTTTTGATAATTACATTACATTTCAATTATAAGAAACTTTTACTCATTTTTATTACTTCAATTAATTATTGTTTCCACATACTTTCTTCGAAAGATCCCATCAGTAGACATTGCTTCAGTACCTCAGCCTCTTCCTGCAAATAAAGCCAGCAAAACAGCAAGCCCTGTCCCTGATACTGCTCAGAGCCACAGGATCTGAACCCAGATTTCAAAATTTTCAAAAATTGCCAGAAGGGGAGTTGCTTGGATTTACATGGGTTTGTTACTTGTTTCCCAGTGAGGTAACGACATGTGACTAAAGGCTTTATTTTCTTGACAGCGAGCTGTCTGTTGATTATTAAAACACTATGAATTCAATTACATTTAATTTAAACAGTCCACTTCAGAACCCACACGATACCCACACACAAACCCAACCTTCTTGTCTTCCCCCATAATCCACCTTACTTTTCCCACTTTTCTAACTCGCTGTACAGTGTTGTCATGTTCAGAGCTGCGTTTATGGTTATTATCTCATTTCCATTTTCGTTCTGAAATGGGATAATTCACCCTTGATTGGAAGATCTGGACAAGCCATCATCTAACCATAGGAAAAGAGGGAGAATAGGTGCACACTGCGTATCAGAAGCAACCTTTGTGCTCCCTTGTCTCAGCTGGTGCAGAGTTACCACGCAGCGTGACTCAGCCTCTCTCCCAGGAGACGTAAAGAGCCGGTTGCAGTGACTTCACCGCGCTGCGCAAGAGCTGTGCAGGATTTGCGGCTGCCCTGAGGTTGCAGGTGCCCATCTTTTCCCAGGTGAGGCCCAGGAGGGCCAGACTTGGGGGGAGGGGAGAATATTTGAACTTCTTTTTCCAAACAACTCCTGCACAGAGTGGGCAGCAAACTGAGTTCTGAACTGCACAGGGATTTGGTGAACACACAGCCCTGTACAGCACAGACCCGTAATAGTGGGTATTTGGCCAAAGCTCCTGATGGCTGTAATAAGTACAGCCTGCTTTAAACTGCACATTCAGCAGCACCAACCCAGACGTAAGAGATTCTAAACTATTCTAGACAAGGACAGCATTTTCTTCAGTTTAGGGGAGAAAATAAATTCATCCCTGACTCCTTCTTTTTTTTCCTAGAACACAAATGAACATGTATGGTTTTGTTCATCTGCATACTCATTTCCAGAAATTTCCTCCCCAAACACCTATTGCTATTAGTAGCCATACCAAACCGGTGGGCTTCTGTGTGAGAAGAGCAGGCAGACAAGCAAAAACCTACGATCTGTAACAACTGCCAGCTCGGCTTCTTTCTTCCGTTGCACAGCTTTATCAGGAATAGATACAGCAGGTAAAGTTTCAGATACTTGCCTTCAGACGGGAATACTTGTGAAGATCTTCCTGGAATTTTACCACGAGATGGAGCTCTCCAGCAGCCAGACAAATTTTTTTTCAAACTACGGAGGAAAAGCATGTCAAAATCAGGCAATAGCCAAAATAAAATTAATCAGTCTGCTTACATTAATTAAAAAATGTAAATACATATAATTCTTTATGAAAAAAAGTTAAGCTATATATATATGCAACTTTATGTGTGCATTATGTACATAAGGAAAACTTTTTTCGAAGAGCCCTGTAGCTCCTAATCACCTGAGAAAACCTTTGTTGATCAATACCGGTAATGTAGGAATTCCTCAAGTAATAAACAATTGCTGAACCCAGTCCTATTTATAGCAGGGTTTGCATTACAGAAGAAAAGCAAGCCAAAGCAGAGGCCAACAAATCAGCTCCTACCTTCCCTTTCCCTTCTGCGTGGCAGGCAGGGAGGAGTGGGTTGCTCTGTGTAGGCGTGGGCAGGCTCTGCCCCTGCATTAGCGTTACCATTAGAGTCTCAACACACCGCCCGGCCTGGAAACTTGTTTCTCTGTAATAGTTTTGCATGTTTTTTTCACATTCTTCAGTGCGTTCCCTGTCTTGCAAGCTTCTTGCAGATAGTAAGAATGCCATGACTTGTTTTGCAAGAGCAGAGATTTTGCCAGCCCAAGGCCAAAATACACCCCGTGCCACGTCCCTTGGTAGCTCTGTGCAGTACACTCTGTGCTCACCAGTTCTCACTTGCCAGGTCAGACGCATCCAGCATTTTAGTTCCTCTTCTAGTTCTTTCCTACTGCTGTTAGGAACAGTCGTGGGGCAATACAAAGGTAGTTGCATCTAGATTGAAATAGTTCTCATAGCTATATTAACTAAAAGCTTCATCGCTTTCTTAAATTTAACAAATTAGAAAATTTTGAATTGATGGACTATCATGTGGAGCTACTGCATTACACATTTTTCCAGCAAGATACAAAATCCTGATCCAGCAACATTACACACAGGTATTGCGCTCAAAACAGACATCCTGATCCAGCAACATTACACACAGGTATTGTGCACAAAACAGACATCATATTCCAGCACAGAAATTTAAAGATAGAAAAGGTCTAGCAAACTAATCTGTCGCACAAAACAGATACAATCATTCTCTTAACAGAGAACAGGTATATGCCTCTGCCACTAGAGACAAATATTTGTCAAATATATGACATAAAGAATGCTAAGCTATGTAGCAGTGCTTTGAGTAATTATAGAAGAGAGGATAGACTACCATGACAAAAGTGGCCACTTGTACCTTAATTCTGATGCTATTTTCTTGATCTGTTGTTTTCATTACCCACAGTTTGCCATTTGTTCTTCCTTCTCTGCATCACACAGATCAAGAAAATTAGCACATGAATCATAAAGGATTTATCAGGGTGAATTATGTAATCGCAGTATCTACATGTTAAAACATATTTGACAATAAGGAGCAAATTAATGCCTTGGAGTAATCCTGGCATCAGGCATCAGTCTGACACCCCCCCTCACACCCCATTTCTGTAACCAAACCAACTTAGCACATACAAGAAAAACACCAGACTATTCGTTTCAACTTCTGACTGCTCTACAAACAAGCATATGAAAGCCATCTAGATTAAACATGTAATTTCAAGAACATCCATGGCACAAGCCAAAACGTAGCAGAGTTCACCAAGCACATTTTTAATACAGTTATATCTAATTTCATCTTTAAGGCCTTGTGAGAAAAAATGGGCAACACTTTAACTAGCTTGGTACATACATTGCAACATCATCAGAAGAACTTTCCATCGTGAATGAACTGATTTAAATTCTGAAGATATTTATTACTTCATTATTCTGATATTATTAATCTCAGAGGGAGGAATTAAAATGATTCTTCATAGTTATCAACAGTGATAAATTCAGCTTGAAAAGATACACATCATCTTTTTAACCATTTACGTAAGATGTAAAATACCTATACAACATGGATAACAAAAAATGTCACATTTCTGCTTAGAACAGCACAGTATGGCAGCATTTTACCTCCTGACAGTATTAAGAAACACTTTGATGTAGTGATGCCCAACCTATAAAGAAATAAAAGCCTAAGGTTATTCCAGAATACCTTAAAAGGAGGCGGTACGTGATTGAAGGACACCACATCCAAGAGGCAATCCGAGCCTGTGCTCCAAGGCAGCCAGGGTGGAACATGGTGTAGAAGTGCTGTCCCAGCTGCTGAGGAATCCGACAGGAATGTAAGGACAACTTTCTCACAGATTTCTTCAGCGTCAACTCAGGCTACGTCAAGAGTAATTTACAGGAACTTTCTGAGTGACTCATGGTTAAATTCCCTCTGTTTTTATTATTATGGCCTAAGCTTGCTATTTGTGACACAGACTTTTTAATCACAGGGGTTTTTATGGTTCTCTCAGTGATGGGATTACATCTTCCGGATAGGAACGATTTTTTGGAAGGGGAAGTCAATCTGTAGAAGTAGCTTTTCTGCCCGAATGACCGACGGTCCTGCTGCAGAAGATGGATAACCGTGTCGCACCGGGTCTCAGCCTGTCAGAGCTACTGCTAGGAAAGGGAAGAGGGAAGAAACAGAGCTGGAAACACAGTACGTGCTTTCTTATCAGCCACAGGAACGAAGAGCACGGCACCCTCCCTCCCCAGCCTGTTTCCCTGTAGGATTCTTGCCTTTTTCAGAACAGGACCTTACATGTGATAATTGTGCCTCATGCTCGCATGGGATGGGGGCGTAGGAACAGGTTTGGTGTGCAATTCAGGTTGGAAATGTGCCTCGCTGGATTAGTGTCATTTACCTCAGCTCCTGCCGTAATCACTCTGGTTGCTAACAAGTCAGATTGAGAAGACTGAAGGAAATTCTGATTCTGCATTCAATTATGGGGCTTAATTGCTCTACAAAATATCATGCATTGTACAAATACACAAGAGTAGTGGATTTACGCTCACATGCCTGCATATCAAAAAGAAGATTGCATTCCAAAGGAAGCAATCTCCTTAAATGAGAATAAGAGGCTTTAAAAGATCTTCAGCTTGAATGAAAATGCCTTCTTTCTGGAGCCTGGCCTGCATCCCTAGGTATAAAGTCCACTAGGACTTCGTGAGAACATCTGACAGAGCTGTGGAGCTGGAGGACCGCTCCAGATTCAACACCAGCGTGTTACTCCTGCCTTGCTAAAAAAAGAAGAAACGAGTATCCAGAAGCTCTATTTGCCAAATCAAATATGCAGAGGAAGAAATGAAACAACATTTATTGATCCCCCCAAAAAGGTAATTCTGTTCAGCTCTAGGATGTCAAAGGAAATTACCTTGATCTTATCACAACACCTCAGCGATATAAAGGCTACCAATTTTCTCACGTTGTATCAGCGTCCATCCAGCTTAAAGGCCCTAGTGCTGGCAGGTAGCAACAGGACGAAATACAGCAATCTAACCCCCTGATTTTAAAGGCAACTATTTTCACCTGTGTTTTCTAAGAAAACACTACAACACTTATTACATGACACGGAAAAAAAAATAAAAAAAGGAAAGCCACATATCCCAGCACAGCTTTTTGCCCTTAACATAGCTTTGTGATGTCGTCTTTGGATTAACAAAATAGTTCCAACACTTCAAGTGTGTATCTTATTATACTTTACCCTTCTCCTCAACTTCAGTGCTATTCACAGCAATTAGATTACCTAATCACTATATTTACTTTGAATCAAGAGAAATTCAGAAAAGCTAGTGCCTCCAGCTTTAGCCTCTCTGTTTGCTTAGGATTTTCTCTTATGACTTTAACTTGGACTATAATGAAAGGTGCATTTTAAATTACTTGGGTTTGTTTCAGAAAGTTTGGTGGTCTGAAACTGTTTACAGTTCTTGATACTCCAAGTGTCCAGTATCACCTACTCTTTTCTTTTCTATTTAGCCAATCTTTTTTAGATCGACAGTTATATTTAACACTTTCACAGCACAAAATTTACTTTTTAAAATTACACCACCAGTGAATCAGATTCTACTGCACTGAAAAAATGTAACAATGCAGGGTTTTTTTTAAGTGAATCAGATTCTACTGCACTGAAAAAATATAACAATGCAGGGGGGTTTTTTTATATTTATTTTTCCATTTCCAGCAGTTTCTTGAGTCCCGTTTTCAACAAAAGCAATTAGTAATTCCATCTTCATAATGACAAATTAGCAATCTGTCTTCGTAAATGACATTGCCCACACAGGACAAGAACTATTCAGCTCCATACAAAATTACGGTTCTTTATATGTGCACAGGGATATCCATTGTCAAAGCATGATGAGCAGTTCATGATCTATTTGTAATGTTACAATAAGCTCAAAGTACAATACATACATTTCTGTTTTAAAGGCATCTATAACTTTTTAATCATCTTCATGACTGTAATGCCTCAGGCCCGATCAAGCATGGGATCCCCAATTTGCCTCATCACATCGAAAATCAACAAAAGGCTGCTTGAAGTCTTGCCTTCTGCTGTGCCTGTGGATGTAGATCTCTGTTGGGTTTTTTTTGCCAGATCAATTCCCTGATCTAGCCCTCTGGCATCACACAGATGCCAGTGCACAGGACAGCGTGGAAGTGCAGAATTCCTGAAAATGGGATTTGCAAGCAAGTGGGACCACTGCAGTACCAATTTACTTTGGTTTACACTGCTGTGAAACTGCAATTTTTAGGTGTGGTTCCTCAGTCGGTTTATACCTGTCTAAATCCTGTAGCCAAATGAAGGGAGTACCTCACTTTCCTGCAGTCTCACCCTTCCCCAGCGTTAGGACTTAATGAGGCAAGTGAGACAGTCAGACTGTGCTGTCTTGAGACTAACTTGAGCTTTCATGACACAATGGCTGTCATCAAAAAAGGTCCCACCAGCCCTCTAGCTTCTGGCTGGCTGCTGCTACTTTCCCTGTGCCACTTCTGGCACTTGTTTAACCCCAGAGTGAGGCAATTTAGGAATCTGAATCAGCAAACAGCCCAATCTGTGGGGTAAAAAAAAAAAAGAGAGAGAAAAAAAAGGAAAAATATATCTCCCTGAATTGTTTACATGAAGTCAAATAAACACCAGCCCTGGTGTAGGAAAAGGAAGGATTCTATACAGGACAGCAATGGAAGAAAATACCAACAGCAGCTTGCAGTGCAACATGGAGCTTCCCAGTATCAGAGGGAAAGCAGACCATCATCACCATCCACTGCCGTTGACTGGGGATGATACACTTCCCACCTCCCAAGTCCCCTGTTTCTTGTGCCCTTAGGACCTGTGAGCCAGCCCAACTCGCAGATCCCAGCTCTTGCCATTTAGCACGTTAAATCCACCCAAAGCAGTCAGTGAGCGCAGGACCTGGTTTGAGCAACACAAGATTAACTTTTCTTCTATCGCTTGTGAAAATGGCACTTTTAGAAGCCTCTAGTGTCTGAATTTGTGAAAATATTTACTTTATAGCCAGCTATGGTATGTGGGTTGCAAGGTCTCAGTGTTTTCGCCTTGCCAGGTGCAGGGACGGGGAGGAGCGAGACCCGGGCATTGACCCAAGCTGGCCAACAGGATTATATCAGATCATGAACGTCACATTCAATGTAAATTAGAAACTTTGCTGAAGAGTTTCTTACATTGTGGCTGTGATCCTGAGAACTCCTTGTCCCTGTGCCCGTCCCTGGGCCCTTCCCTTCCTCCCGAAGCCGCAGCGCTGGCAGTGTCTGCCATTTGCTGTCCCCTGCTGGGAGTGCACAGCTTCCTGTTGAGAGAATGGGCCAAATATAAACTTTGTATATTTTATATTGGTATCAGGATCAATGCTGTTTCTTTAGTATTATTAATGCTAATTATTTAGTCTTCTCCTATTCAATCTATTTATATTTCAACACTCGTATTTCCTTGGCTTTCCCTGATTCCCCTTCCTGGGTGGGGAGGGATCATCAGGTGAGAGAATAATTGTTTAAATGACAATAAATTGCTGTGGGTTCCTCCAACTGTAATACAGAGGCACGGGGGACGAGATCAGGCCCCAACAGAGCAGCCTGGGCCCGAGGAGAGGGAAAGTCTCTCCTCTCCTCTCCTTCCCCTGCACATCAGAACCACGGTGGTACTCTGAGAGGCCTGATGGGCCACACCAACACACCCCAGGGACAAGCTGGAGGGAGGGGAGGCAGGAAGGGGAGAACACCGAGGGGAATACAGACATACAGACCAGTTTAAACCGACCCTGAAACACCACCTCAAGCCAGAGCCGCTGCACTGAAGGGTCTCTTGTTTCAGACATTCCTGCTGGCCCACATGCGGCCTAGCCAGGCTGCAGAGATAACCGCAGGCTGCCTGCCGGGCGGGCTCCCCGGGGGTCCCTCAGGGAAAAGCAGCCGCAGGGCGCCCCTTAGGCACAGCGCTGGGACGGTGGCAGGTTCGCTTCCCCCTCTATACCGGGGCATGTCTGCCTTCTACCGACCCACAGCGCTCCGCTTCCCTCACAGCTTCCTTCCCTCTTCCCCCCCGCCGCCCTGAGGGAAGGCAGGGCAGGCGCACCCCCCACACTCCCCCCCTACCCTCCCCTCAGCGCCACCCCCGCGGCCGGCAGGGCACCCCACCACCCTCCACACCCCTTCCTCGGTTTCTCAACCCTTCCTCCTCCTCTTCCTCCTCCGCTGCCGCCGGCTGGCACAAGTGAACAGGGCAGCACACCCACGCACCCTCCCACCCCTCTGCGGCCATCAGCGCCGCGGCCGCCCGGCCCCGCTGAGGAGAAGGGGGGGCGCACTGCGCACGCGCATCCCACCACAGGGCTGCTCGCCCGCCGCAGCGGAGGGGCGTGGCCTCAGGGGAAAGGGGGCGTGGCCTCCGCTTGCCACGCCCAGTCTAGCTGGCGCCGGCTGGGGCGGCCCGCGGCGGGACGCAACTTCCACGGGACGGCGGCGGCACCGGGCGGAGTGTAAGCGACTCCCCCGGGGATCCGGAGCGACCCGCGGTGGCGTTTGTGAAAGGGAGCGGAGGAGAGCGGTGCCGAGAGCCGGCGAGGTGAAGTTTTGCGGAAGCCGCTCCTCTCTGGGCTCGGCGGGAAGGGGGCCGGAGCGATGAGAGGTCCGCCCGGGCCTCGCCGTGGCTGCTGCCTTCGTGGGAGAACGGGCCGGTGCCCGCGGCGGTGAGAAGGCGGCCCCTCCACACCACCACCCCGGGGGGAACCGCTGCCCGGCGCTTGCGGGCGGGAGGAGAGAGCGACAAGCGGCGGCAGCTCTCGTCGGGACCCCCTTCAGCCCGCCCTCCGCTGAGGTGACCGCGACACCCCCCCCACGCTCCGGCTTTAACGCGTGCTCTCCCTCCCGGTGTTTCCTCCCGGGAAGGGCCGGCGGAGGCGACGAGGAGATCCCCGAGGAGGGGGCGGAGGCGCCCGGAAAACCCCCGAGCCTGAGGAGGAGGAGGAGGCGGCTCCACCAACCCCCCCCCGCCTCAACATCCCGCCGAGCCTTGGCCCGCCTTCCCCCCCCTCCCTCAGTCGAGGCCTCACCTTTGCGGGAAGGGAGGACGGACGGACAGACGGACGGAGA